CCCCCCCCCCCCCCCCGAAAGTGATGTCTAATGGCAGTGGAAGGCTGTAAGAATAAATGGCGGGAGACATGGCCAAGTTCCAAAATCATGAGGTCACTTAAAACAGCGGTTCTCAACCTGTGGGTCACGACCCCTTTGGCAGTCGAACGACCCTTTCACAGGGGTCGCCTAAGAAAATCCTGCATATCAGATATTTACATTACGATTCATAACAGTAACAACATTACAGTTATGAAGTAGCAACGAAAATAATTTTATGGTTGGTTCACAACATGAGGAACTGTATTTAAAGGGCCAGATGGTTGAGAACCACTGACTTAAAAGAAGCATTGCTGCTAGGTTGATGAGATTGTTTTTAAAATATGGAGTGTTAAAAATCATATTACATATGCAGAACTGTAACTCACACTTGATTTCAGTATACCAAGTAAACTATGCATAAGGGCAGCAAATTCAGAGAGGCCAACACAGCTTTCACAGGAAGATAAGGAGTTGAATTTCCATAGAGGAAAGGGCAAAACAAGAATTTCTTGGAATATTTAAAAAGCAAAACATCCTTTTATTTTAGAAATACTCGATTTGATCCATTACTTTTATCGCTCTACTAAGAAAAATGTATACAAATAACTTACAATTCTAAAGCTCTTATAAGAAAGCTGGATTTAAGAAGCTATGCAAGAAATGATAACAGTTTCCACAGCGGGGGAGTGGAAGGGGGTGATCTTGGGACCCAAGGAGGCTGTGGGAAGCAGTCATCTCTCCCCACGAGGGCCCTTGTTCTTGTTGGCTCTTGGACAGACATTTGTGACGTCTGACCTTTTCCTGGGTCCTTCACCCCTGTGCCGACTGTACTTCTGGCCTCTTGGATCTTAACTACAGCTGCTCCCCCCTTTAATGGTCATAATCTGCCGAGAGAGGGGGCCAGCTATCACATTAGTCTTGGACTTGGCGTGGGCAAGCCACACTGTTTAAAGGGAACTGGAAGCCATAATTGCAAGCGAGACCTCTCGCTGCCTTTAATTTCAAGTGAGAATCTGCTCTGCAGGCCATCAAACCTTGGGTAAAGATAACATGTTTTATTTTTATGAAAAGCATGTATATAAAGAGAGATTCCAAGTGGAGCTTTTAACATCACAGGCATATGTTTGGATCCTAAATGCAGCAGCCCCCCCTCTTAACTAAAACACATAGAAAAGTGCCATCCCTCAGGATGGTGTCACACTGACTCACAGCCCACTGGGGGGCTCCACTCTGACGCACTCGGTAAAGACCTCACAAACCGAGAAAGCTCTGCTAAATGTCAGTGTCAAATAAGCACAATCCTGCTGTCCTACCCATGGAAGGAGAGGCATGAAAGCTGTCAGGACCTGCCCTCCTGTACATCTCTGTGCTCGGCTCTGGATGAAACCCTGCTGGCGTATTCCTCTCTAACCACATGTTAAACAAAGCTGTAACCTGTGCTGTGGGAATCCCTGAAGAGGTATCATTTTCAAGTCACCATCCTGACCTTTTCCCAAGTGATTTCTGAGGGTTTGGCCCATTTCCTCTCCTGTCTCCTTTGCCTGTGGATTATACTGATATTGGGCTTGGCGATTCCTGAAATTTAGCCTGCAGCTTATCAAAACCATGGTCTTCCTCCTTTCTTTGAAGAAACTACTGTCCAACCAGCTTTGTGAAATAACCAAGAAAGCAGACAGGGCCAGGATACACACGTGAGTGCTAAACCATGACGCTGGGGCGCAATTGTGAGAAAAAAGACAAATTGCAGGAACAGAGCCTGAAAGATGTGTGAATGTGGGTCGCCCCACCAAGTTAAAGAAAGGTTCTTTTTTTTCCTTTTTCTGCAAGTCAAAAGAACAAAATGCAGCTGAGAAATTAGAGCAAAGGATTCCCCATCCTTGCGTGGGACTTGCCTCCCCCACCCCCACCCTCCTCCGCAGCACCCCTGCTGGCTCCCGCTCTCCCCCCAGGGCCAGCAGAGGCTGGAATGCTGAGGACTGGCCCCGACTTCCATTTCTTTGTTCCTTTGCTTCATCCTGTGCCCCTGCCAAAGACAAGGAGAAACCAGCTCTTAGATTAAAGATAAACAAACCATCTTTATAAGCTTAGCAAGGAATATCTTTTTTTTAAAAAAAATCCTCAACTGAGGATATGTGTTTTTATTGATTTTAGAAAGAAAAAGGGAAGGGGAGGGGGGAGAGGAAGCAGAAGAAACATTGATGTGAGAGAGAAATATTGACCAGTTGCTTCCCATACTCATCTCGAATGGGAATTGAACTGCAACCCAGGTGTGTGCCCTGACCAGGAATTGAACCTGCAGCCTTTTGATGCATGGGAGGATGCGGCAACCAACTGAGCCACCCGACAATGGCAGGAATATCATTTTAATATAATTGTTGCCCCTTATCTAAGTAGAGGGACACGTTCAAAGACTCCCAGTGGATGCCTGAAACCCCAGATAATACCCAACCCTATATATTCTGTTTTTCTCTATACATGCATACCGATGATGACATTTAATTTAAGAACTAGACATAGTAAGAGAATAACCAGAATTACTAATATTGAAATAGAATAATTATAACAATATACTTTAATTAAATTACAGGGATGTGGTCTCTCTTCCTCAAAATATCTGGAATTTCCATTTAATATTTTCAGACTGCAATCAACAGCAAATAACTGAAACCATGAAAAGCAAAACTCTAGATAAGTAGAACCACTATACAGCCATGTAAATGTTTCTCACCCCTCAAGCAGGCCTAGGGATATTTTATTTGACTATCAGAGGACTTTGGCTATCTAAGCTGTAATTGTTGGCACATGGTATTTTAAAAAAGCATCTTAATCACTGCTTAATAAATGTATGCCGCACTGACAACTTGCTTCGGCTGATGGGGATGATTAACCCAACTCTTCAAAGTATTCTTTTAAAAACCTCACCTTGACTGGATGTGCCCTCCCTTTTTGGGACCATTCATACATTCTAGTATCCAGAGCTCAACAGAGAAATCATAATAATCACAAATTATTTACAATTTATATAATGTTGATTTGCAAAAGTTGTTGATGGTAAGTCCACATTTTGAGATCTTAAGTCTCTGCTGTGTTCCCCACCTGAGAGGACTCTAAGAAAATACCATGGCCGAAACCGGTTTGGCTCAGTGGATAGAGCATCGGCCTGCAGACTGAGAGGTCCCAGGTTCGATTCCGGTCAAGGGCATGTACCTTGGTTGCGGGCACATCCCCAGTGGGGAGTGTGCAGGAGGCAGCTGGTCGATGTTTCTCTCTCATCGATGTTTCTAACTCTCTATCTCTCTCCTTTCCTCTCTGTAAAAACTCAATAAAATATATTTTTTTTTAAAAAAAAGAAAAGAAAATACCATGCCTTACAAGAGCCTATAGACTTTATATTTTTAAAAACAAGATATAAATCCACATAGAGGGAAATGCACAGGTCTTAAAGCTACTTCAGTCTGTTTTGAAAAAATGCGTAAATTTAATTTACACCACTATCAAGATGTAAAGCATAGCCATCATCCCAGAAAGCTCCCTTTCCAATCATTAACCCCACTC